TCTCCCAAATGTCCCGGCCGCAACAACGCTTTATTGGTTCCGCTATCGGGACGGAACCAATAATGGAGAGCAGTTATTTTTAAATAAAAACTTTTTAAAAAATTGTCAATTTTAACGTTTTATTTAGATTACAAAAATAAATCGTAATAAAAATAATCCTTTTTATGATGTTTTAGAAATTAAGACCTACGAAAGACTGATTTAAGACATTTTAATTAAGGCCTTAGTTTTATTTTGAAGAATTCAATGCCTTTTAAGACTTTTTAAGGACCCGCGGGAACCCTGAGATTAGACTGACCTGGCGGTTGAGCAGCGCCACCCTGTCCAGGCTCGGGTCCAATGGGGTAAAGTGTACAGGGATTAGATCATTCATCTTTATGGGTCGTCCAGACATGGGACACAACACGGCTTTGCTCTGAAAAAACAAACAAAACAGGGATTATAAAAAAAAAAAAAACAGAGGTCTAAACATGACAACGTATCTGATATTTCTAAGAGATGGTTTTCATTTCCAGACGTTGGGTCAACCTGTCCTCTATGTGAAGGTTTGCCAACAGACAGGAACACATAAGTTCAGCAAACAACATGCTGTCCTTGCTGGAAGCAAACAAACACCAACGACAGGCTGCCTGAACAATCTGCCGTCAGATTATGCAGCAACGAATTGTGTGATGTCAGGAATATTGTAGTTAGTGACGTGAGTCTGTGAAACTCTAATATTATCTGCCTGTTGAGCATCAGAACTAACGTTTTCCCATCTAGTTTATCTAATCAGCACAGTTCCTCTGTCCGGCTTTACAGTTAGCATCTTCATTATCTATTCAATTCAATTCAGTTCAGTTTATTTCTATAGCTCCAATTCACACCACATGTCGTCTCAAGGAACTTTCCAGTTCACCAGATCATCCAATCAAATTGATTCAAAGTTTTCTATCTATACTCTGCAAAGATTTGGGAATAGAAAGAGGGTGGTGTCCTTCAGCTAAGAACATAGTGTAATATTTTTATATGACTGGAGCCATGGATGTCTTTTCATTTCTAAACATGTATCATGTAACGATGTGGCAGAGTAGAGTTGTATAAAATGCTTCTCTAACTGTGATTCAGGGCCACTTAAATTAGACGTGAACCCAGCTGTAAGCGCTGCTTCTGTAACTCTAAGCAACTTCTCTGATCTGAGTAAGATTATATCTGATTCTGCTGTCATGTCTCACGGTTATTTAATACATTATGAAGTGTTGTTTAAAGGAAAAGTCGC